GGCAACAGAGTGAGACCTCTGTCTCAAAAAAAAAAAAAGAAGGCGTGTGGGGTGGCTCACATCTGTAATCCTAGCACTCTGTGCAGGCCGAGGGCAGGCAGACTTGCTCGGAGGGTCAGGAGTCGAACACCAGCCTGAGCAAGACCGTCTCTACTAAAAATAGAAAGAAGCATTAAGTTGGACCAACTAAATAAAATAATATACAAAAAATTAGCGGGCATGGTGCGCACACTGCCTGTAGTCCCAATAACGCGTGGGAGGCTGAGGCAGGAGGATCACTTTGAGCCAGGGAAGACTCTGAGGTTCGTGAAGCTAGGCGCTGACGCCAATGCCTCACCTAGCCTGGCAACAAAGTGAGACTCTGTCTCAAAAAAAAAAAAAAGAATCAGAGAGAACACAGAGCCTTGATGTCCAGGTAGGGGACGAAGGAGGAGAGGCGCTGGCTTGGTCCCCATAATCCCCACTCCAGGCACGTGGGTTCAGCTGCTGGCCCCACCCGCCCTCACTCTCTCAGCGGAGCGATCACCCAAACATGGCTGCCGTTTGCCGGTGTTCTGCTGGGGTGGGGTGGAGTGGCTCGTGGACAGGAGGGCATCAGTGCCTGCCTTCTCCCAGTCAAAGCCTCATTCTCTGCGATGCCCCCGCTCCTTCATGCCTGTTCTCAACACCGACATGATCAATGCAGGGGATGGTGGTGGCGGAGGACAGAGAGGTGACCCGGGGGCTAGCCAGGAGGAAGGGCAGTTGCTGGGATTGCAGGGGAAAAGAAGGGCACTTCCAGGACAGGAATGGCCTGGGGGGTGGCATTGGAAGGGAGAGGCACATGATTTGAATGAAAACATGCACATGGTATGCAATAGCATGCAATTTACATCTTGGATTAAGCCCACTGGCGGGGACACAACCCTCTGAGATCCGTGCCCTAATTACCATCTCCTACCTCCTCTGCCATTTCCACACATCGGCAGCCTGAACCACTGGAGTTTCCTACCCCTCCACGTGGGCCTGCCTCTGCGCAGACTGCTTCCTCTGGGGGCTCCCCCACCACACGGCTTCCTTTATTCAGTCATCATGGGGCAGGTGCTGGCTTTGAGCTGCTCACCGTTGCCTATCGGCTACTCACATCCCTGGCGGCCAGCACAGGGCCCCAGCACAGGGCGTGCTTGCAGCCTGTGGTCTGGGGACTGGGGACACCTCCGCCAGCAACTGAGGCTCTGTGTTCAGAAGATGGCAGGCAGCTATAGACACTCCAAGGCCCCCAGACGGTTCCACTTCTGGCGTGGATCTCTCTAGAACCCAGGGAGGTTCTCTCTGCTGACAGGACCTTGTGTGCTGCACAGCCTGCGCTCCCCACAGTGTGCAGCCTCGTGCCTGGCATGTGTGGATTCGGCGAACGTTTGATGAGAATGGGAATGCCTTATATTATTATTCCAGTACCTAATTAATGAAGCCAAGTGCTTTCAAGTACTTTACATCAAAGCTGCAGGAGGCAGCTTTGTGGGATGATTGTTCCCATTTTATAGATGTGGAAACTGAGGCCTGACATCATGTTTGGGAGCAGGGCTCAGGTACATCCGGCTCTTTCCAAGCCCCTATCCCCACACCCATGGGACACACTGACCCTGATCAGAGAGTGGGAGGAACATCAGCAGTGTTCTGCCGGAATCCACACATGCCAGGCACGAGGCTGCACACTGTGGGGAGCGCAGGCGGTGTCAGGCACACAAGGTCCTGTCAGCAGAGAGAACCTTCCCTGGGTTCTAGAGAGATCCACGCCAGAAGTGGAACCGTCTGGGGGCCTTGGAGTGTCTATAGCTGCCTGCCATCTTCTGAACGCAGAGCCTCAGTTGCTGGCGGAGGTGTCCCCAGTCCCCAGACCACAGGCTGCAAGCACGCCCTGTGCTGGGCCCTGTGCTGGCCGCCAGGGATGTGGAGTAGGCCGATAGGCAAGTGAGCAGCTCAAAGCCAGCACCTGCCCCATGATGACTGAATAGAAGGGAAGCCGTGTGGTGGGGAGGCCCCCCCAGAGGAAGCAGTCTGCGCAGAGGCAGGGCCCCACGTGGAGGGGTAGGAAACTCCTAGTGGTTCAGGGCTGCCGATGTGTGGAAATGGCAGAGGAGGTAGGAGATGGTAATTAGGGCACGGATCTCAGAGGGTTTGTGTCCCGCCAGTGGGGCTTAATCCAAGATGATAAATCGCATGCTAATTTGCATACCATGTGCATGTTTTCATTTCAAATCAATGTGCCCTTCTCCTTCCAATGCCCACCCCCCAGGCCCATTCCTGTCCTGGAAGGCCCCTCTTTTTCCCCTGCAATCCCGGCAACTGCCCCTTCCTCCTGGCTAGCCCCCCGGGTCACCTCTCTGTCCTCCGGCCACCCCCATCCCCTGCAGTTGATCATGTCGGTGTTTGAGAACAGCATGAAGGAGCGGGGCATCGCAGAGAATGAGGCCTTTGACTGGGAGAAGGCAGGCACTGATGCCCTCCTGTCCACGAGCACCTCCACCCCACCCCAGCAGAACACCCGGCAAACGGCAGCCATGTTTGGGTGAGTCTCCGGAGAGGTGAGGGCGGGTGGGGCAGCAGCTGACCCCTGCCTGGAGTGGGGATTATGGACAAGCCAGCCCTCTCCTCTTCTCCCTACCTGGACACACTTGGCTGTCTCTCTGATTCTTTTTTTTTTTTTTTGAGACAGAGTCTCACTTTGTTGCCCAGGCTAGAGTGAGTGCCATGGCGTCAGCCTAGCTCACAGCAACCTCAGTCTCCTGGCTCAAGTGATCCTCCTGCCTCAGCCTCCCAAGTAGTTGGGACTACAGGCATGTGCCACCATGCCCGGCTAATTTTTTGTATATATATATTTTTATTTTTTATTTTTTTATTTTATTTTTTTTTTTTGAGACAGAGTCTCACTCTGTTGCCCGGGCTAGAGTGCCATGGCATCAGCCTAGCTCACAGCAACCTCAAACTCCTAGGCCCAAGCAAATCTCCTGCCTCAGCCTCCCGAGTAGCTGGGACTATAGGCATGTGTCACCATGCCCAGCTAATTTTTTCTATATATATTAGTTGGCCAATTAATTTCTTTCTATTTATAGTAGAGATGGAGTCTCGCTCTTGCTCAGGCTGGTTTCGATCTCCTAACCTTGAGCAATCCGCCCGCCTTGGCCTCCCAGAGTGCTAGGATTACAGATGTGAGCCACTGCACCTGGCCGTCTCTCCTATTCTTGGTGCTCAACAATGGAGTTCCGAAACTTTGGGAAATTCTGCCCCATTTCCACCCTCAATCTGAGCACAGAGTGGGCGTTCTCATTTGGGGTTTTTGACCTTGGTGGGCTCCCTGGGCAGCAGGGAACCCTAAGTGAAATTACCTGAACCCCATAGTTTCTCTCTGTCTTGTCATTCACATTAATTTAATGAACATGTCTTGAGGCCATACACCTAGACACCACGGGGGCTCAGAGACAAAATTACAGCCCCTGTCCTCAAAGTGCTCTCAGCCAAGGCTGGAATATCTGCCATAGACGGGTTAGCCATTTCAGAACCATTTGACAGGCACAAATACAGAGCTGGCCCCGGGGCGGGGGTGCTGGAGTGAGAAGGGGCTCCCCACCCAGCCCCAGAAATAAGCAAGGGGAGCAATGGGCAGGGGCTCCAGGCAACACCTTCAGGAAGGAGACTGACAGGACTTGGCAGCAGCTTATGGTGCCCAGCTCTGTACAGAGATTGCTCAAGGAACTCCAAAGTGATTCTTCTTTTTAGACCCATTCCAGGCAGTGAATGCCAGTGGAAATCTGGCAAGCCCTTGCACAACAGCAGGGTCTCCTAAGTACATGGAGACAGGTGGGGGCCCTGCCAACTTGAGGGTGGTCTGGTCTCAGAGGCCTTGTGGATGGTGAGGGGCTTAGGGGACATGCCCACCCTGCAGGGCCTCCTCTGTGCCCATTCTCTCCCGTGGTGTCCAGGGCCTGTGCTTGTAGGAAGGGGCCGTGGGAGGAAAGGGCACCCCCGCCAGTCTTGCCCATGCCTCCCTCCTGTCCTCTCCAGGGTGGTCAACGTGACGCCCGTGCCTGGGGACCTGCTCCGGGAGAACACCGAGGATGTGCTGCAGGGCGAGCACCTGAGTGACCAGGAGAACGCACCCCCAATTCTGCCTGGGAGGCCCTCTGAGGGGCTGGGCCCCAGCGCCCACCTTGTCCCCCACCCCGGGGGTCCTGAGGCGGAAGTCTGGGAGGAGACAGATGTCAACCGAAACAAACTCCGGATCAACATCGGCAAAGTAACTGAAGGGCGCTGGTGGCCTCCCCCCTGCCCCCATTCCCAGCCCTTGGGCCCCCACCCTGTTCCCCACGAGTGCCCTCTCCCCAGCTGTCCACCCACTCGCCCTGCCTCCATTTCCGGGTCCCCTCCACCGCCCTGGCCTGGCTGCGTCTCAGGACCCTCTCTCAGGACCCTCGCACCCTCCACCACCTCCCTCACCCGAGAAAGCCTCTGCCCCTGCCGCCTTGCCAGCCCCGGCTCACCGCACTCCCTCTCCTGCAGACCCCCTGCGTGGAGGAGGAGCAGAGCCGAGGTGTGGGGGCCCCCAGCTCCCCAGTGCGTGCCCCCCCAGAGTCCCCCACCACCCCAGTCCGCTCTCTGCGCTACCGGAGGGTCAACAGCCCCGAGTCCGAGCGGCTCTCCACGGCGGACGGGCGCGTGGAGCTGCACGACAGGAGGTGGGTCTGCGCCCGCGGGGCAGAGGGCCCTCCGCCTTCACACGGCTGGTCTGCAGAAGTCCCATGTGAGGCGGAGGTGTGGGGCACAGGGAAGTGTTGAGGGGGTTATATTTGGGGTGAGTGACAGGGCGGGGAAGAGGGGATGGGGGAGGGGCAAGACATAGGAGGGACAGGTGGGTCCTGGGCCCAGGAGGGTGAGTTGGTGGGTGGGAGTGCTTCCAGAATGTCTTCTCCTAGAGACTAATGACAGATGCTTCAGGAGCAGCTGCGGTGGTCGGTAGGCTCCCTTCAGCCTTGGGGGAGGGGGCCTGGGAACTGCTGGAGGACCAGACAGCCAAGGTATGGGGGTCACAGCTGAGGGACCTGAAGTCAGGGTGGGGCGGGACCAGTGGGAACCTGCTTGGTGAAAGGGAGCACCGGAGAATTTAGAGCCTGGGTGAGCCTTAGGAGGGGACGTGGGGAGATGGCAGTGTGGTCAGTTGATGTTGGGGGGACAACACCAGGTGGGAGAAGCTCCTGAGAGATGTTTCCACCCTCCCTTGGCCTCTGAGTGGGGCTTCACTGCACACAGGCCTGGGGCCTTCTCTGCACCAGGAAAAGGATCTCTCCCCGAGACCCAGTCCTGTGGGAGGGGGACTCCTGTCTGGCAGCTACACAGTGTGCCCCCTCATGACCTGCCTCGGCCATGGTGCCTCCTCTGGATTCTGCGCCAAACTGTACTCCACCTCCCGGATGGGGCGCAGTGCCACGCTGGGGTGTAGACATGCCCCAGATGGGGATGTGGGCCCTGCATGAGGGTGCGACAGTCCTCACACGCCCACCCAGGTTGGCCTGCCTGGGACTGAAGACCACTGTTTTCATCCATGGTAGCCTAGGGTCCTTCAGCATGGAGGGTTCTGGAAACCGAGAACTGAGGAGGGACAGTTTGGATATGAGTGGAGAAGAGAGCTGGGAAATGCTCTGAACAAAATGGTCCTGAAAAGCTGCCTGCTTTTAGGGAATGATGAGCAGTCTGGTTTGGTGCATAGTGAACCCTAATTTCAGGATTGGTGGGGAAAGGAGGAGAGGGCTGAGGGGAGATTTTCTGGAACAGAAGGTTCAGGATCTCATAGATGGCAGAGGATTCAGATGGGCTCTGGAGCACTCGGGAGCAGGAGCCGGTATGAAGCAGTTTGGATTTGGATTTCCCACCTCCCTCCCCCTTGTCTTCAGTCCTCCCCAACCCAAGCCCTCCCCACCTCCCCCGCACCTGCACCCCCCAACACACACAAGTGATTGAGCCCTGCACTTCCTTTGGCACCCTCTCTCTAGGTTTGTGGAAACAAACTGCTCTCAGGAAAGGAAATGATATCAGCCTTTTCACACGGGAGTGTAAATGTAAGACCCTAGGTGGCCTCTCTCAGGAGTGTTCTATTTTAAGCCTTACTAACAAATCAATAAAAATATTGTGTAGAGTGGCTTTGGTGGGTCCCGCGTAGGCTGTGGCAGGAGTGTTTTGAGACAGGCCCGCAGGTCTGATCTGCCCCCCTTCCTCTGGAGTAGAAGAGCCATGGAGTCACAGGCTCAATATGGGGGCAAGGAGGGGGGTAAAGTCAGCGGCCCCCCCCAAGCCTGAATGTGAGGAAGCTCACAAACCCCAGATGAGTTAGCCCCCCTGGTTCTCAGTGGGGTGCCCTGGCATTTGGGAGAGGACTATTCTTCCTTGTGCAGCATCCTCCCCCAACCCTGCCACACACACTGTTGTACAACTAGAGATGCCCTCACCTTGGGGTACCACTCCAAGGGGAGAAGCTCTGGAGGTCATGTGAGATTCACAGTTTAAATAATGGCAAAAAGAGGCTGGGCGCGGTGGCTCATGCCTGTAATTCTAAAGCTCTGGGAGGCTGAGGCGGGAGGATTGCTTGGCTCAGGAGTTGGAGACCAGCCTGAGCAAGAGCAAGACTCCCCCTGGCCCCCCACGCCCCCACCCCCGTCTCTACTAAAAATAGAAAAATTAGCTGGGTGTGGTGGTGGGTGCCTGTAGTTTCAGCTACTCAGGAAGCTGAGGCAGGAGGATCACTTGACCCAGGATTTTGAGGTTGCTGTGAGCTAGGCTGATGCCACAGCACTCTACTCAGGACAATGGAGTGAGACTCTGTCTGGAAAAGAAAAAAAAAGATAATGGCAAAAGGAGGCAGAATGTCCCGAGGCAGAATCACTGCCCCTGAGGTAAAAAAGTCATACAAGCTCTGCAGCTCACAGTCTCTTGGGGAGACAGACACGTAAATAGACACGAGGTCCACTCTGGGCAAACTAATCCTTCTTGCAGGCTGGGAGAGACTGGGGGAGGTGACATCCAAGCTGGGTCAGACAGTGAAGGGTGTAAGGACAGGCTGTGTGTGGGGAGAGGTCCTATAGGGAGAGGCCAGGTGGGGGGACAGGCTCTAAGGGGGACAGGCCCTGTGGAGGGAATCTAAGAGGGACCTGGGAAAAGGGGAAACTGAGCCTTAGTCAGGCTGTGAGGGCCTTGAGTGCCAAACTCAGGAATGTTGAGTTTGTTCTTGGGGCTGGAGAGTGACTGGAGTTTGTTAAGCTGGGGCTAACAAGGCCCGTCTTAGGGGTGGTGACACCAGCCAGCCAGGCCTGGAGGGTGGTAGTAGAAGAGGCTGGAAAAGCCATCTGTAAACTCAAGGGCCGGCTGGCTGTGTTTGTCCTGGATGCAGCAGGCGGGAGCCTCTGACGGGTGTGAACCCTGGACTAGCAAGAACGAAGATGGCTTTAGGAAGATTAGATTCCCTGGGGTGGCCCAGGGGAGTGTGCTCCTTGGTGCACAAAACAGATTTTATTTTCTCCCATCCAAGTACCAACCAGGCCCAACCCTGCTTAGCTTCCGAGATCAGTCAAGATCGGGCACGTTCAGGGTGATATGGCCGTAGACGAGAATGTATTTTCTGCTTGCATGTACTCCTGGAACACAGTAAGCATTCAAAACCATTCGCTGAGTGAATGAATGAGTGAAAGAATGAACTCACTAAGTCTTTATAGGGAGTGAAGTTGGTGGGTGACGACCTAGGAGGTGGCCAGCCTGGCCCAGGGGGCAGGGGTGCCGTGGTCATGAGGTTTCGGGAGTCAGGCTCCACCCTGCCACCTGCTTGGGGGTGCAGTGGGGGTCCAGAGGGGGTCCAGAGGGGCTGGGCACTGAGCCCCACGTGGGGTGGCTTTGTAGGTCACGGATGGATCTGCCCGGCTCACCCTCGCGCCAGGCCTGCTCCTCGCAGCCAGCCCAGATGCTGTCAGTGGACACAGGCCACGCCGACCGGCAGGCCAGCGGCCGCATGGACGTGTCAGCCTCTGTGGAGCAGGAGGCCCTGAGCAACGCCTTCCGCTCGGTGCCGCTGGCTGAGGAGGAGGACTTCGACAGCAAGGAGTGGGTCATCATTGACAAGGAGACCGAGCTCAAGGACTTCCCTCCGGGGGCTGAGCCCAGCACGTCGGGCACCACGGACGAGGAGCCAGAGGAGCTGCGGCCACTGCCGGAGGAGGGCGAGGAGCGGCGGCGGCCAGGGACGGAGCCGGCCGTGCGGCCCCGGGGGCGCAGCATGCAGACGCTGGCGGAGGAGGACATGCGGCTCATGCCGCCCCAGCTCCCGCCACCCCAGCTGAGCCAGGCCGACGGCCGTTCAGAGACGTCACAACCCCCCACGCCTGGCAGCCCTTCCCACTCACCCCTGCACTCGGGACCCCGCCCTCGACGGAGAGAGTCGGATCCCACGGGCCCGCAGAGACAGGTAAGGCTGGGCTCGCACCCCACTCCCCACCCCCAGATGCCCAGGGTCCTGGCGTGCGTGCAGGCCTGGAGTGCTCCGCGAGGGCGGGCGCTGCCAACCAGTAACCCAAAGTTGCAGGGCTGTGACGGGGGCGGGCGGGTTCAGGGGAAGGAGGCCATGCTTGAGCGGCAGGCAAGGTTCTCAGGGGAAGTTCCCTTCAAGTTCTGAGTTGAGTCTTGCGCCATGTGCAGTGCAGCCAGGTGGCAAAGTGGAGAAAGGGGGACAGCGTGTGCGAAGGCCTGCAGGGGGCGATCAGAAAGTGCTGAGCTGCTGGCACACCCCAGAGGACGAGGCTGCAAGCAGGTCCCGGGGCCGTCATGGAGGGAGGGCCTTGGGGCTAAGCCGAGGGGTTGGATCTTGATTCTGAAGGCTTGGTGAGCCCCCGAAGGCTTTAAACAGGGGTTCAACATGATTATACACATGCTACTGGTGGATGATCCTTGGGCTTTGGTGTGTAAAATGAATTGAAGGGGCACAAAACTAGAAGCAGGAAGGCCACACTGCAGGTGGTAGCAGGAGAGGGTCCTGGCGGCTTGGACCACAGGGGGGCGCTGTGGACGCGGGACAAAGTGGACAGAGCCAAGAGGTGTTGGAAGAGGCCAGGAGGGCTGTGAAGGAGGGGGTTGGGGGGTGGGGGGGTGCAGGGTGTCTGCGCTGATGCCCAGGGCTCTGGGTGATGACAATGCTGGCCTTGAGTGGTTTTGAAGGGAGCATGGATTCAGATTTAAATGCAATGACCTGGTAGTATCTGAAGGATTTCCACGGGGAGGCATCTGAGGCTCAGGAGAGAGCCCCCTGGAAATACAGATTTTGGGGTTTTGGAAACCACGGGAGTGGGTGCTGTCACTCAAGAGCATTGTGCAGGGTTGGGAGACCCAAGGGTGACAGCAGAAGCTGGGAAGTGCTTGCAATCTGGGGAGAATGGAAGGAAAAGGAGCCCCTAAGAATGACCCAGAGGGAGAAGTCGGAGCCAGGAGGTGGGAGGAGCGCCAGGGAAGTAGCAGGGAACTCAGGGCAGGCTCCAGGGAGGAGGTGAGCTCTGAGCCCCAGGGTGGATGCGATGGGAGAAGTGGAGCCAGGGCAGGAGGACTCTAGGCTGGGCACAGGGATGGGCATGTTGGGGGCCCTGGGAAGGCCCAGACTGGCTGCAATGGCACCTCCTCCTATGGGAGGATCGGAGGACACGGCTGGAACGGCAGCAAGGGTCCAGATGGTGGCTGAATCCCAAATGCTAGGCTGAGGGTCTGAAGCATGTCTCATGGCATTTTGGTTACTTTTTTCTGACAAGGACAGAGTGGCAGAGACCACTGGCCCGGCCAGGCTTCTCTGTGTGAGGCGGAGGCTGATCTCTGACCTGGGCAGTGGATGCTAACTTTTGTCTGTGTGCTGTAAGGGGTCCGTGATTCAAAGAGGGGCTGGAGTGATGCTGGAAGGGGCTCAGGGCCTGTACCGTGTTCCACTCGATGGCCCCACGTCAGGGGCATGACCCCAGGCGGCTCTGGGAAGTGCTCAGGTGCTCCTTGCTCAGACTGGGAGGACGGGCCTGGGGTCACCTGGGTGCCCTAGGAAGGGCAGCTCTTGGCAGGCATGTATTCAGGCTCCATCCCTGTCTCTCTGGAAAGAACAGAGGACCTCTGAGCTGTGGTCCTGGGCAGTGTACGTCCTGGCCTTGTCCCGGACACTGGGAATTGAGGGCTCAAAAAGTGGAGACAGTGAGTCCCCACACAGAGAGGTCCCCGCTGGCCTGAGGCTGGAGGCTGCGCCCTGGCAGAGCCGGCAGCCACGTGGGCTGGCGTGACTGTGTCGTGACCTGGTCGTGGTTCCCACCACGACCAGCACCAGTAAGCAGGAGAAGGAGCAAGATCCGTCCGGGGCTCCTGGCTCCCGTCTCATTCGTTCCTCCACACTCGCTGAGCACCACTGCATGCGGGTGCAGAGGCACCGGGGATGGCACGCACGGATGGGCTGTCCCGCAGGAAGTACAGGGCTGGGGAGGGCAACAGCCAGTGTGGGCGGCATGGTGTCTACAGAAAGCCCGAACTGAAGTCAGGAGCGTAGGTTCTGGACCTGGCTCTGCCGGCCCCTTCCCCATGACTGTGGGTGGGACACTGCAGTCCCTTCCAGGTCCCAGAGTGAGGGAGCTGCGGTTCTCCTGAGGTTTATCCCCAAGTTTTTTCTCATTCGGGGGCACAGGCCTATTGTGCAGTGGGTCAGTCTCGAGCTCTGGTCTGCTCACGACGTGGATGGGCATGGCCTGTCTCCTCCGCGAGAGATGACTGAGCGTGTCTGTGGGGCTGAGGTGTTTGTGGGCCTCGATTTCCCCACAGGGTACAGAACGGAGGTCGGATAGCACCCTGCGACTGTGCATGCGCATTTCCGTGTCAGCCGAGCAGCTGCGCGCGCACGGTGTGTGGATGTGTCCGTACACGTGCACCTGTGTGTGGTGCACACGTCACTGCGTCTGTGTAGACCGTGTAGAGGGTCCACAAGTGTGCAGGGAACCATGGACGCCTAGAGTGTCAAAGCTGGAAGGAGCATAACGACAAGGGCAATAATTCTAATGACAATAACAACTGGCACTCTGTGCTGCCATGTGCCAGACGCTGTTCTAAGCACTTCCATTTTTATATGTATAGTCCTCATAACAGCACTACGATTAGGCGATCCCTACTTAAAAGTTAAAAGACTAAGGTTCAGAGAAGTGAAGTTTCTAGCCCAGGGTCACCAGCTGGTAAGTGGAAGAGCTGGGACTTGAACCCAGGCAGCTGGCTCCAGGTGTGTGGTCCGAGCCACTCAGTCTGAGGCCTGCATGTTTAGCAGAGGAGCAAACACAGGCCTGAGAGAGCAGATGGTTTGTGCAGGGTCAGAGAGAACCTGGAACATGCATGTGTATGTGCATGTGTGCTGTGTGTGCACATGTGTGAGCATAACACATGCCTGTGCACACTGCTGGCGAGACCGTGTTAGCAAGTGTGCCTGTGGGAGTGTCAGTGTGCACGGTGGCCTCTGTGTGTGCCTGTGGATGAACGTATAGATGAACGTGACACGTTTTGCCAAGTATTTCGGGACAGCAGGGTGAAGCAGAGACCTTCCTTTGTCCAGGGCAGGGGAGGAGGGAGAAATGGACCGGCATATTTTTGCCTTCTGTCTTTAGGCTGGCCAAAGGGAGTGCTGAGCCCAGCCTGGAGGTAGGTGGGGGCTCCCAAACCTGGCTGCACCCTGGAGTCACAGTCTGTGGGACTCTCCACCCCTGGGAGACTAGATTATGTGGCTCCGGGCAGGCAGGGATCTCTACAGGGACATACCCCTCCCTGCCACCTTTCTTCAAGGAACTCCCTCCAGACCTAGCTCAGTCTGCTCGGTGTCCGATGTGTGAACTTCCTCACAGCAGCAATCATTAAAAATCTGAGCACCTGCAACTCTGTCACCGGCACGTGTGCAGAGTTGAAGATAACATGGAACCAGGCACAATTCTTAAGCATCTATTGTTCTTTGGTGTGCGTGATTTGATACTTTAAAATGTTTTCTGTACACACACATGGCTTTCTGGGAGATGGAAGGTGCAAATTGGAAGCCGAGGGCCAGGAAAGCGAGGTGACAGGAAAGCAGGCCAGCAAGTGTGTGGTTGGGGGAGGGCTGTTTGCCACCCTTTGCTGTTTGTCTCTGCCTGATAAGGGGGCAGGTCAGCATTCCCTGAGTACACAGACATTTGCTTGGCAGCCAGAAAAACATTTCCCTGCCACGTGCTGGGCAGTGTGCTGGGGTCGGCGGGACAAGGATGAATGAGGTTGCACAGTCCTGCCCTTTCAGAGCTCGGTCATGAGGGGGGCGCAGTGGGGATGCCAAGGTCCAGAAGGGATGTTTACTGGCAAGGGGCATCCGGGAGATAACAGGGAACTCTTATCTGCCAGGAGCTGGGAGCTTGCAGGGGAAGCGCGGTGGAGATATTTCAGCTGGGTGTACGGCAGTGGTCCCCAACCTTTTTGGCACCAGGGACCTGTTTCATGGAAGACAATTATTTCCATAGACTGGGGGTGGGGAGGGATGCATTACATTTATTGTGCAGTCAAACCTCCCTGCTAATGATAATCTGTGTTTGCAGCCACTCCCCAGCACTAGCATCACCGCCTCAGCTCCGCCTCGGATCACCAGGCATTAGATTCTCATAAAGATCGCAACCTAGATCCCTCGCATGCGCAGTTACAGGAGTGTTCCCGCTCCTATGAGAATGTACTGTCGCTGCTGATCTGATGGGAAGCGGAGCTCAGGCTGTGATGTGAGCGGTGGGGAGTGGCTGCAAATACAGATGAAGCTTCACTGGCATGCCGCTCACCTCCCGCTGTGGGGCCTGGTTCCTAACAGGCCACAGACTGGTACTGGTCTTTGGCCCAGAAGTTGGGGACTGCAGGTGCAGAGGACAAGTAGGTGACCACAAGTGGTGCCTGGCTTGAAGGGGCAGGGACACACTGTCATTAAATGTCAGCTTAGGAAAAACTTCCTGGCAGCCGACCAAACTGGCTAGAATGTTAAACTCAAGCACCCGCATGAGCTGGGAGAGGGGGCTTTGGGCAACTGTGGGTGCCTCGGTGTCTCTGGGTGGGCCTTAGACCCCCCAAACCTCAGTGCAGATGGGACTAGCTCAGAAGGGTGCTAGGCTTGGCCAGAACAAAGCTGAAAGGGGAAGCGGGGGCCGGTGGGGGGAAGGACAAGCCTGTTAGAATGTTCTCTCTCATCCCCACTCCTCCCAGCCCCCTGTGACCCCATTTGACATCAGCAAGGGACACTGGAGCTGAGTGTCCCAGGTCTCTCCTCCTTCTGCCCCCTAGAGCTGGCACAGCCAGTCCTCGCTGCCCACACTACAAGGTATTTAAACTGGCTGCAGGCCCAGGAAGAGCTAGGGGTCAGGCTGGGAGAGGTCTGGTAACACCCAGGGCACCGGTTCCACCATTTCCACCCCCACG